TAATTTATCTGAATATTTTTTAAAATTTGATTATTTTGCCTCTTTTAAAGCTGTTTTCATTGCAAATCCATTTTGGTAGGCAGTCCTCTCGGCAGCCATTCTAGTTTTGCTCCTTTCAAAGCCATTTTCATGCCAAATCCATTCTGATAGGCAGTTTCTCGGCAGCCATTCTAGTTTTGCTCCTTTCAAATCCATTCTGATAGGCCATAAGCCATTTTACTTGTTGCTTAATACCGAATTGACTATAAACATTTACTTTACTTATTTCTTTACTTATTTCTTTATTTATTAAAAAAAAAAGAAGCAAATTTTAATTGAGTCTCCCAGTTGAATTGGTTGAAAAAAACCTCAAGCGAACGAGAAATAAACGAGAAGAGAGATAACTCTAATGGAATGGATTATTTTTGTTCTGTGCAATTCTTTTCTCTATTAGATAGAGTTTTTCGTTTATTAGGTATGTATATTTTTTCTTTTAGGTTTAAAAATTTAGGGCCTAATTAGGGCCTAAAAGTTTTGTTTCATTTTAAAATTATACATCACCGCATTGCTGCTGCTAGACATAATTTTTCATTTGGGAATTATCTTTGTTTTTTTTTTTTGTCTTTTTTTTTAATATCAGTAATCTCATAAAGCTTAAATTTCCTTTATAATTGTCAATTTTTATCGTTTTTTTTTTTCGTAAACAAAACTTTTTGCTTAATTTTTAAATTCTTCGGTAATCCATTTCGATAATTCATTGGGGCATTTTATAATTCGTAGACTACATCATTAATTCATTTGTATAGATTCTATTGCTATCGAAAATATTTTCTCTTTTCATTTAATATTAATAGAAATCGAAGGATTTTGCCATTGCCATTCTTTTGCTATTTATGTTGAAAAATTTACTTTTTTATCAAATTTTTTTTTTTAAATATATATAATTTTAAATATTTTTAAAATATTTTCGATTGAATAAAATTTATTCGCCTAATTCTAAATTCTTTGTTCGTTAATACATTTTTAATTACCTAAGAAATTAAATGAATTGAATTGATCTATCTATTTTATTAAGAATAATAATTGCATTTATTAATTATTCAAAATATTAATTAATTTAATATATTTAGAATTTTAGAGAGATCTCCAATGGATTTGCAAGCATTGCAAGTTGCGTTAGCCATGAGATATAAGGCCTTATATCCATGAAATGTCTAAAATATGATAAAAAAAGAAAGGACTGATTAGGACTTATACAAATTATCTGCTAACTGACTGATGCTAAGGTGATCTGCTCGAATTTCTGTTCCCTCTCTCAAGTGGCTCACTTTAGTAATTAGCGGGGTTAGCCAAGTCGGAAAAAATGAAGAGAGTTAGGACGAAAATTCATTGAATTTTTTTCCAAAAACGCGTGTTTATATTCTAGAAAAAATTATTATATCGCGCAAATGGAAAGAAATTTCAGTTTTTAATTGCAACAAATCATTTTTTTTTGCAACTTTTCAAATGGGAGAAAAAATGCATCAAAGGTGATTAATTGATAAAAAAAAAAACGGAATAAGCAACGATAATGGAAATGGTTGAAATGAACAATAATAGTATACCTAATAGTTCATCATTGTGTGGAGGGACAATACTGCAAGCGATCGTTGAGAAGACACCAATCAGACGGAGAAATATCGAAAATGAACCGCATTCAAGAAGAAAAACAAGTGGTAGCAGTGGTGAATCGTTTGATAATAATCGTGCATTTTCGACATATTCATGGTCCGAGGACTCACTTGAAATGTCAAATGCCAACTCTCAAATTCTCGATTTTTCACCAACCGATTCTACCGTACCGATGAAACTCAATGAAGTATATGATATAAATGTGCCTTATAAGATTACGTCGACGCATGATAACGACATAGATTCAACACAATTTTCTCAAAAAACTGCTGAGAGTAATGCTACAATGGTTCCTGGAACAAATCCAGGATACGATTTAATAAATAGTCCCGGAAGTTATACATCAATCGATTGTCCAATGCCTAGTACATCACATTCGGTGAATTCTTTCTTTCGTTTTTCACCGACTTCGTCGACTAATAAAGAATTAATTCGCGAGTCGATTGATAGAGAACTCGATGGCTTAGATACATGCCTACCAAATTTGGATTTTAATAAGCTTGAAGAGAAATTGGTTATTGCTGCTAAAGAACGACAAATTATGGAACGAAAACTACTTGGTGAACAGGTATAATATTATTTTTATTAATCTCTAATTTTTAACAAAATTCTAAAATTTCATTATGGCAGATCATTTCAAATCTAATCTATTGCTGAATAGGCTATATTCATAAAATAGTTTTTTCGTTTAAATTGAAATTGAAGAAAATCCATGCAATTTATTTATTTTCATTTTTTTATGAAATTTTTAAAAATTCAATTCTTTTTGAGTCACATTTTTGAGTCATTTTATTTTGCGTGACTTAATTTCAATCTTTCTATTTGTTCAGTTCAAAAGAAGAATTTTTTTTTTTTTTTAAATAATAAAAACAATAAATTAATATTTTTAGGTGCGAAGAAGATTGGCCTTACAAGTGGATCAATATATGGCTGGGCCTTCACCACGAATTTTAACTCGACCTTCAAGGTCAAATTTAGGTTTTCGCCTTCAAACAGCTATGAATCTTCAGGTAAATAAATCATTTTATTTTATAAACTCAAAAGCTCAAAAAAGATTAAATATGTCTTTGATGGTGAAAAAATGCTTTATTATTCAGGTTTGTTATATGAATGATCTAACAGATGATGAGAATGAGGATGATGATGATGAGGTTGGTTTGGATTCATCCGATGATGAATTACCTAAATCGAAATCGGCTCCAAATCTATGCTATACTACTACCATTCAAGATGGCTCAAATATGAATGCTACACAACTTCGGCAGAAATCCGCTATGGAAGGTTGGGATTTTATTATGCTTGATTCAGATATTTTCTTTTTTTTTTCAACGAATATATTAGGATTATTAATTTTTACGAAATTCTTAGACAATCTGAAAACTTATATGAAAAATTTTATAACGCTATAATAAAGACGATTCTCTATTCTTCGCGTCCTTTTCTACTGGTCGCATCATTTCTAATTTGGCTGACTCTTCTAGCCTCAGGCTATTAGTCTTAGTCTTAGATTTTTTCATGATTGCCAGTCCAACTCTCAACATTTAAAATTCTTAAAACTCTTAAAAATTCTTTAAAAAAACTCAACTCAACTCTCAACTTTTTTTTTTAAAGTTCCCACTATTACTGGTTAGACTCGCTCCACTAGCACTTCACACTAGGCGAATATGCCAGGGAATCCTTTGGCGATAGAAATACAGACGAATCTCCAGCATCACCCGGTTTTTTGTACAGATTTACTCCTACGGAGAATCGAACCTCAGCATTGCCGCTCCGAATTGAGCAATAACCCATTGAGCCATCATACTTTAAAATTAAGTGAATTCATTTATTTTTCCCTTTTTTCTCGGATATTTCCCAATATTTTATCAATGCTGTTAATAACCCTTAACGACTAATCTTTACGAATAGATTTTTTTTTTATTGCAATATTAATAATTAATTTATCTTTTTTCTTTTTAATCTTTTTTAATTTTTTAGTTATCTTTTTTCTTATTAATAATAATAATAATAACAGTGATAATAATAATAGCAATATTGTTAGTAATGATAACAATAATAATAATAATAATAGGGTTTAAAAGATCAATTTGTGTGGTATATTTTATTTTCATAGAAAAAATTAGATTTTTATTCAATTTTTGGATAATTTCTTGCATGTCATTCATTTTCTTACTCGATATGCATATATGTTAATTATGTCATTCTTAATTAATTAATTTCGAGGAGGCGAATTGCCTAAGTAATAAATATATGAAAATATATTTTTCCATAAATTCGTTGATTTTACTTGACAGATTCATCGAAATTGGCTTAAATTTCATCTTTTTTTTTATTCAATAAATTTTATTAAATTATCTTATCGACGTTGTTGTGTAAGTTTTTCGCTGATAAGTTTTTAGTTGATTCTCTCGTAGGCAATAAAAAGAAGATTGAGAAATTTCTGGATTATATTATTATATTTCCGACTCATCTGAAAGTATATTATTTTTCGAAATTTAGGAAAATAATAAAATAATATTTTCAAAATAATAATTTGGCTTAATTAAAATCTTTCGTGAAATTTAAGGGTTTTTTTTCCTAATTATGAGAAAGCATTAGAAAGGATTTGAAAAGATCGCTTGAATTCATTTTTTGAAATAAATAAAAACAAGAAAGCAAGAGTGATTTATTTTTGTCATTTTAGTGGCATTTTTTTTTTGGCATCCATTTTCTAAGACAATGAATGCCTTGGTTTTTTTTTCTGGATTTTATTCCTTTTTTTTCCTTTTCTTTATTTTATATTATCTTTAATTTTTATCAATCAATGCTTTTTTTTTATCAATTTAGCTTCAAGTAAAAAAATATTTTTTATCGATAAGAGAAATTCGATTCTGCAAGTTTTCTAATCTTTACGATCTCTGCTTTCTTCAACTCTCATTTATCATTTGTTATTTCAACTAAGTTTAAGCTTAAAGATAATAAGCGATTATCGATGGATGATTTTTGATAGCCGTAATAAGGTGTCACTGGTAATTTTTTAAATTAACTGATAAATCTGGATTAATACTTCGGCTAAATACTTTAAAGCGGTTTTTTGTCTCGTTGTTATCCTTATTTTGCGATAATTTTTAGGTAATCCAAGATTATTACTCGAAGAAGAGACAAAATTAATGTTATTGAAAGCAAAACAAGCAGCGAAAATGCAAATGGAATTAGAGCGATTGAATACGCATCGAGCAATCTATTGTGGGAATCATCGAAAATTTTTCAGGTTTATTTCTTTTTTTTTTCATTCATTTAATCACATTTAATACTTATACACTTATATAATATATAACCTGATTTGTCACAATGAAATTATTATTATTATTTATTATTTTTTATTATTGTTATTATTATTATTTATTATTTTTATTATTTATTATTTTTATTATTATTATTATCTATTATTTTTTATTATTGTTATTATTATTATTATCTCTGAAAAAAATATAATTTCATTGCGATTAATTAAAATTATTCCATCGTAAATTTTTATTCAATTTATGGCTTTTATGGCGCATTTATTGTTTAGATTATCATTCTTTGCTTATTTGGCAAAAAACTTATTGATAATCTATCAAATGCGGTTACTGCAAGTGGCTCTCTGCCGAAAATTATCTCATTTTAGTCCCAGTAAAATATGCAATGCTTAACCAGTAAATATATATGCTAACAAATTAACTAACAGTTATTTAGCAATTTTAGCGTTTTATTTGAATTTTATAATTTCGCTATTATCACTATTTTGGCGAAATTACAATAATTTTCATTAGAAATTTTAAGATTTATGAATATTTTATTGGAAATTATTTTTGATATTATGATCCGCAGCAAATAGACACATGCATTTTTAGCAGAAACGCATATCAATTATTGGCGATAAATTGAATGTCGATTTTGTTATTTGGGGTATTTCCCTAGGGATGTTTTATTGTTTCGTAAAGTGATTATTAGGCTATGAGTAGCTAAAATGAGTTCGCATGAGTTAATTGGCAAATGTCAAGACTTCATTTCATTATAATTATTTTACATAATATTTATAATTGTCTCTATCGACTGCAAATCCACTTAATTCTTTTTAATGCGAAAATTTTTCGAGTTTTTTTTTGTAAAACAGTAAATTTCTATTTGAGCTTAGGCTGCTTTGCATTTTAGCATACTTATTTATCATATTTTACATTTTCTGGATATTATAGAGTAATAGCTTTTAGATTTTTCCAGAGATAAAATTTGATAAAAAAATTTTTGCCCGTTAATTTTTATTGGCCAGATTGCATCGCTTTATCGATTTATGTGATTTTGTATGTGTGGAAGATTTTTATGGTTCATTTTTGCAAATGCTAAAAGGAAGCCTTCCTGATCTTTTTTTTTTCAGGATACAACTTACGAAAATGTCTTGCAAGCAACTGAGAGAAATATCATCGCAATTAAATGCTAGAATCGAAGGTGAAAAATTTTTTTTTTTAGAAATTTATTTATCTATTTCCATATGGTGAAAATTTTTATTTTTTTTCGAAACTTCTCAAATTTCCAACTATTTAGGTATTATTTTTTCATTCACAAAAAATGAATAAAAAAGAAAAATTTAAAAGAACGATTTTTCAGCAAATATTAAAAGAATATCATTATTTTTTTGTGATTTCAAACGTTTCCAGTTTTCAAAGTAATACTTGCAATTTACCCAAATTTTATCCCCAAACTGACGAAAGTGTTGCATTTTTGTGGAACATTAGTGGAACTAACTTAGCCAAAAATAATGAAAATTGCTAAAAATGGGGGAAAAAGAAAGATTAGCTTCATTTATATATAAATTTTTAGAGGAGAACGCTGAATTAGTGCGATTATTAGTGGAAAAAGATTCGTTACATATGCAACAAGATTCAATGTTGGTCGATATTGAAGATATGATTCAGTAAGTTTTATTTTATTTCTTATTTTTCTAAGTTTTTATTTTATTTATTTATTATTTATTCGATTAGTGACAAATTTCTCATTGATTGTCGAAATAAATTAGACATTTTTGGATGCTATTTTTATGCTATCATTGAATTTTATAATGAATTTACTAGTCTCATCTAATAGAATAGAAAATATTTTCTAAAAATGCATTTTGAAATTATTTCACTTTTTTCACTTCATTTCACTTCATTAAAATTGATAATTTTTTGATAACTGATAAAATAAAAATGAACTGATTGATAAATCTTTAGCTAGGATTGATTTTGGATAAAATCTGAAATTCGTAAATAAATATTCGATGAAATTATAGGTGAATATTTTTTAGGCACGAGAATCATTCTGAGATTCTTAATCTTCCTGAATTTTTAATGGTTCAACCTGGTGGTGAAGATGCGAAATTTCGGGTTTACAAGCGATAACTATTATATTATATATAGCGCCTTTAATGTATATATAACCCAAATGTTGAAAAAATCAGTTCATTCAACTATTGGGTGATCATTTCGTTCTTTCTTCATTAAATATATTTTTTATTCACTTATTATAAAAATTTAATATATAAAAAGTTTATAAGCAATAATTTTTCTATTTATAAATTATAGGGCTTATGACTTTTATTTAGTTTATTTCGTAACCTAGAATGAAATATATTTGAGAACGTTAAATTCATTTAAATCAAGATAATTGTATTGTCTTTTTTTTGGCATATTTGCCATTTCTTGTCAAATTTTATGATAAAATGTCAATATTTGCCCAATTTTCGCCCAAATTTTGATTATAAAACTCGTAGTTAGTTGAAACGATTATTAGGTTATAATTATTTAGCGATTTTCTGATATCGAATAATTTTATATTTTTTATATTTTCTATCTTTTCCAAAAAGAAAAAAAAGAATGAAAATTTTTTCAATTGAAACATTAAAATTTTTAACTTATAAAGCATTTCTTCGATATTCCTTAGTGGCAAATTTAAATGCTTAATTTTATTCGTTATTCTTATATTTAAATTTACATTTAAATAATTTTAGTCAATGATTTTTTCGAATGGCAAATTAAAAAATCTTAAATAAGCGATGATAAATTATTTGATAAATCTTATTTGATAAAATTATTGAAAAGTGGAACGAATTATGTAACGTCTCATTTGCCTTAATTTAATTTAATAAATTTAATAAAATTTTGAAAATATAGATAATTTTATTGATAAACTGATAAAATTTTACGAGTTTATTAGACGATTTTTACAATTTATTGATATGTAAAATTTTGGAATGAATTTTCATATAGCAAAAATTGGGAATTTATTAGTTAAGAATTTAATTTTTTCGATTTTTCTTATCAGTTTTGTAGTTTATCAGTAATTTCGTCTGATTTTACGAAGCACTCAACGATAGAAATTTGTTCAAATATTGGCTAAATGAAAAATCATGTCGCATATTTCGTAAATATCTATATATCTATATATAGGCATTTGGCTATTTTTAGACAAATTGTTCATTTATGCTTTTCATTAATAAAAATGTGAAAATAATTTGGCGAGGCAATATTATTCTCGAAAATTTTCATTAATATTTAGGTTTCGCTAATTTGTCAAAACTGCAAATGAGATCCATTAAAAGAGATGATGAGCATTTATTTATTTATGTGGTGCATTTTTTTTTTTTTTTTCTGGAGCTTTTCACCATTTTTGATGTGTTCTAGCGGATTAGCCAAATTTTGCCAAAGAATCACCTGACGAAAGAAATATAGGTGAATCGCTAGCGTAATTCGATAGGCTTATAAAAAATTTATGAATGAAAATTAATTGGTCGATTAGTCTATTAATTGGTCGATTAGTCTCAAAAGTCCTATGTTAGGATTTTCAAAGAGATAAAATTTTTGGAAAATCGCTCCTCAAAAATTTGGCTTCAGTTTTCTAGAATTAATTTTTTTTATAGGTTAACGAAAGAGATGGCAACATGAAATTTCGAAATGATTAAATGTTTTTATATAGAAATAGGCGCAATAATTACTCCAAACGATGTGGTTGGTCCTGAAATTTGAAAAAATTTGTGGATCGAAATAATTTTTATAAGTGAGAAATTTATTGGATGCGATTGAATAAAGTGAAATATGCAAAATATGCCAACACCTTATCATTATTTTATTGCAAAAAAAAATTTTTATATATTTATTTTTTTCATATATTTTATATTTTTATATATTTATATATTTTATATATTTTTATATATTTTTTTATTTTTTTCATAGAAAATTCAGTAAATATTTAAGCATTTAAGGAATTAAAAATGAAGGATGCATTCGAGGGAAATGTCGCGATTTCTGGATTTCTCTCTTCAAAACAACAATTTTTCTTTTTGCATATTTTAGACGAAATATTCCTTAAATTTAATTTATCATTCACATAAATAACTTTATTTCTAATTATTCAACTAGTCAAATCAAATTTTTGATGTTATTATTTTACCTTAACTAGTAAACTTTTTGCATAAACAATCTTTTTAATTCCTTAAAAATAATAATTCCATTATTATTTAATATATCAAAAAATTTTTAAATTTTTTGATAAAATATTTATATTTAAAATTACATTCTTTTTCAAAATTCTTCTGATAATTATTATCATTCAGACGCATTGATATTTAGTATCAATACGAAAATTTCTAGATAATTTTATTATGAATATATAATTATTGCCTAGCAAAAATTTTTCATTTGTCAAATAATAAAGTAAGCAGGAAATGAATCAGAAATTAACGAGCGATAATCATTTATCTACTTACTTACTTACTTATTACCATTACTTGTTGTTATTTGAATTTTTCATTTTTTTAAATACAAAATGCATATTTATTATATTTTATATTTTTAATATTTTATAGAATAACAAAAATATTTTTAATATTTTAAATATTTATAAATTCCAATTTTCCATTTTCTCATTCAGTAATTTTTTATCAAAAAGGAAATTAAAAAATAAAATTTCGAATTTGAAAATTTGACCCATCTAAACTATTAAAAATCATTTTAATATATATTTGGCGGACAAAAATTGCAAAATTGCAAAATTTAAATTTATAAAAATTTTTTTTTGCATATTTTTAAAATTAATAAATAAATAATATTTGCAATAAATTATTTGTAGAGAGTTTTTCATTCGGCTAAATCGTTCGTCAGCGATGAGCATTAGAGCATTTTTTCCAGCACGTTCATTGCTGCATGAAATTTATAATCCTTTAGTTTAGGCGAAGATAATCTTTTGTTAAGAATCATATTACGGAAAGGATTAAAGGCATTCGACAAGTGGCGCAATTGAACGCTTAGAATTGACGCTAATGGTGAAATTATTCGTATCCGATATTTTCCCGAAAATAGGATTTTTATTTAGGATTTATCGAAATATCAATAAATTCACTAATGATCTTGGCTTATAACGTTACGTAATATGTTATTCTTAAAGTTGAATAAACAGATAGAAAATATTTTTAACGATATTTTATGAATATGAATAATATTATAATAATAATAATATAAAACCAAAAGAGCAGTTACAGAATCGAAATTTATCAATATTCAATTGCCATAACCAAACTATATAAGAGGGTTGAAAAGGATACTGGCAAAGAATAAGAGGAGGCGGGAGAAGGGGTTGAAAGGGTATTTAAGGGTTAAGGATTTATAACAATTTGTTGACCAAGATTTATAACGACATTTCAATGCACTTAGTTTTTTCTTTTCAATTCATTTCACATATATTCACGTAAACGTGTAATCACGTGTGTATCTATTTATAAATTTATAAATTTAACAAAAATTAAGATAAGGCCAATTTAAAATAAACAAAAAAGTGTAAATTTAAAAACTATTAAATGCTTATGGCAGTTATAAAGAAAAATTGAATAAATTGTGATAAGAAATTCTGCCTGTGATAAGAAATTTAAGAAAAGAAAGAAATGATAAGTAGCACTTATAAAAACTGAGGAATTATTTATAACGATACAGTTTAATGCAAGTTGCAAGTTTAATTCTAAGCATTTCCAACTCCCAAAGGATCGCCGAGTTTTGGATATACTCGTGGACATGAACCACAAATGGAAAATACATGTGCTTCACCTTTTTCACAAACGAAAGAACATGTTGATGGATTCTGAAAATTGAAAAGATTCTAATCTAAAAATCTTGATTTTTATGAGAAATAAAATTCAATCGTCAATTTAACGACTTAAGCTTAGACCAGCGGTAATCGAAGTACTGGTTGGAGGGCACATGTGTCCTCTCGTTCCCCACTTTTTTAATGGTTCTCATAATGTTTGCAACATTTTGAAACCATTTATGCCCAAAGGTTTTATCAATGTTTCATTTTACAAAGTTTCATTTCATAATATTTCATACTTGAAAAAAAAATAAAAAATAAATAAATAATGGTCATAAATGAATAGCAGAAATATTTCAGTTAATGCAGTCAAAATGAGTTTTTTATATTACATTTACATAAATTATGAAAATTTCGCCTCATTAACAAAAAAAAAGTAATGATGAGCGATGACCTTATAAGAAGAAAGAGAGAAGGAACGATGAGTGGAGAAGGACTTAAGTTTATTCTTTTTAGATTAGAAAATAAAACGATGTGCTTAAGATGGAAAAAGCTTATCAAAACACTAAAAAAGTGAAATTTCATTATAATTTTTATCAATTCAAATCGGAAATTTTTATTGTTTGCAGTAATAAGCCAAAATATTCAATACCAAAAGTTGTATCCATTAATATATTAGAAAACTCATAAAAGAATTTCCAGAAATGCTAAAAATGAAATGAAACTTTTTGCTTTTGCTATTCCTGAAATTTATTTCCAATTAATAAAAAAACATGAAAAAATCTTACCTCACATGGAAGAATATGATGGTTCGATAGCAATTTACAAGTCCATGGTGAAAAACTATGGACTTTTAGTAAACGAACTGGTGTTTCAATCCATTTTATAGCTTGACTAGCAGTAACTATATAAGTATCAGAATTGTTTAGAACCTAAATGAAATAATTTTTTTTTTTCGAAATAATCGAAATATCCAATAATCTTGAATAAATTTCCAAGTATAATTTCAAGTACCTTCTAGGTTGCAAAAGCCTTGATGAATAATGAATGATTAGAAAGCTGATAATAGATAGGAATAAATTTTAAAAATAAATTAGAATATAATGGCTAGCTGTTTTTTTCAATTCTCTTTTAGCAGGTAAACTTGTTATCACATATGAAAATGCAAATGGCAACGATAATCCACTGTTCTATCTGTGATAACAATTTCAGCAATGATAAATTGGTAAACCAGTCAGTAATAAGAAATTATGAATGTTGGAAGAAATATGAAAAAACCTCAATCTCAATCTCTCAAAGAAGATAGAATATAATTTTAACATAGTTTAAATCATCCTTTTTTCGCATTTTAATCGACAAAAAAAATTACTTAAAAGTTGAATTCGAACTTCAGAATCTAATCTAATAGGATAAAAGTGAATTACTCGCAAAGCAAAAAGAATTAAAATCAATTGATAATCATTTTTACTTTGGTGATAAAAATTTCGAGGGCAATCAAAGCACGATCGTAAGTGAGCGATGTTAAAAATTTTGATTCCATCGCAACAACAAATGGAGCTTTATTATAATTGTACGAACGAAGAAAATTTTTGTATAGCACATCAGCTATCTTCTCCGGTGAGTCGAAAATCTGAAATTTGTATGAAAATATTAAAAAAAGAAAAAATCAATTGTAAATCGAAGAGAAATAACCAGAAGTGATCAACAGAAGTTAGTTTTATAATATTCAATAAATCTTAATTAATAAAATCATCTTATGGATAAAAAAATTTATTCTCATAATTTCTCGTAACTTAATGATAAAATAGCGAAGTTGTGAAGAGAAAAATAATTTAAAGGATTTCAAAAGATAAGATAAGTTGATAAGCCTTCTTAATGTAATCGCATTAATTAATACTTGTATTATTTCATCAATCATGCCAATTTTAACGCGTGGATTATCAGTGATTAACTGATGAATAGGAATAGCCCATAATCCACGATATGGCTTTCGAGGACAATCGTATTCTGTACAGTTCCAAGCTAAAGAATAATCCATTGTTTGCGGCCAAAACGGACCGCCATTAATCTTCATCGAATTATCATAAAGAAAACCTGATGCTTCCATCATATTAAATTGATTTTCACCTAAATTTATTAATAATAATAATAATAATAGTTTAAAAAAGGAGAATATTTAAATAAATATTTAATAATATTTAAAAACGAATAAAGAGAATTAAATCAAAAATAAAGTTTTTTGCTGGAAAATTACTGAATGAAAATACATTTGCCTTATTTTGTTTTGTATGATAATTAATCAAAGCAATTTTTCAATTATTTTAATAATTTTTAGTAAAAAAAAGTCCGAAAAAAAATTTGCGTCTATAATATTTTCATTTCATTATAAATTATTCAAAAAAAAACACCTCCGAATTGAAAATATGGCGCTCGTATTCCAACGATTTCATCAAATGAAGCGTAACTAAAATGTTGAAGAGCTTCACGCATTCCAATCATTTCATCATGCCATCTTCGAAGAGATTCATTACGCAAATTATCGCCCCTATTTTTAGAATTTATCAGAAAGAAATCTGAATGAAAAATATCAGAAAGCAAAAAAAAAATAATCTTAATAGTTTTCATTTGTATATATAGATAAATTGATGTAATAAATTTTTCCAGGATTTCCTCAGGATCCATAAATTCCCGAGGACCTAATCGATTCCCCACGATTCAGCTTGAGATTTTCAAAAAAAAAACAAAGGTGAATAGGAAACCAAAAAGGATTGATAAGTAGCGGTTTTCAAACTTTAATTATTTTACGAAATGAAATATATTTATGAAATGTAAAAGAGAGATCGATTTTAAATAGGATTTCTGGAATTCCGGAAATGTTAGTCCGATTCTGTTTTTCTTCACTAATCTTCACTTTTTTTTCGTCCTTTAATTTAATCTGCGAATTAATAAATAATCATAGCCTATTTATAATAAAGATTTTCTTCACCATTGCTGATTAGACCTGTCCCGGTGACTTAATGCACTAGACAAATATGCCACGGATTCCGTTGGCGATAGAAACCACAGGTGAGCTTCGTTAGTACCACCAAAATTTTTGGGCAGCTTTACTCCTGCTGGGAATAGAACTTCAGCATTGGTGCTTCGAATTGAGTCTAAGCCCACTGAGCCATTCTATTCTCATTTATAAAAATTGGAAATCTTATAAAAATAATTTATTAAAAATTATTTTTTGCACAAATGTTACGAATAATTTATGGATAAAAAAAATTGAATATATCGGCTTTTCTAACATTTTATTTCCTTTCATTTGCTTAACAATCAATCATCATTCAGGAATTTTTATCAATGCTCAGTTAAATTATTAAATTATTCAAAGTAAGTAAAATCGGAATAAATCAAAAAATGAAGAAAAATTCAAATGCGTTGAGTATTTAAAAAAAAAGATTCGAAAAATGAAAGCTTTTAAACGAGGCATTTGTAAATTAAAAATATTTGTAAACTTCGTAATATTAATAATAATTATACAAATATATCTAATAACACTGATTCCAGTTTCACTGATTTCAAGTGCGAAAGCCTATTATCAGAGGACAAAAAGCCTAGAACAGTCCAGTCCTAGGATCACCGGATTTTTCTTTTAATGACAGGTTTATTTCCTCAGGTTTATTTCCACAGAAAATGGATGAAACCCACGATTGGCTTAGCAAAGCAATATCAATCGACCATCTTTGTATATATATATATATATATATATATTATATATATATATTATTATATATTATTATTGTATATATTATTATATTATTATATATATATATAATAATATATATATATTATTATATATATATTATTATATATATTATTATATATATATTATTATATATATATTATATATATATATATATTATTAAAATATATATTATTATATATATTTTATTATTTTATATATTTTTTGTGCAGAATATGTAAAATTATTAATGTTATTGTATTAATTTTTTTTATTTATTTTATTTTTTTCCTTTGCTTCTGCTTAAAAATTTAGCATGAAAAGAAAAAATTTAAAAATTTTTATATTTTGGACGATTTTTTCAATCTTCTGGCTATATTCTGGTTTATTTCCTATGTGAAATAAAGGTTTATTTCAAGGAATTATCATGGCAAAATAAACAAATAAGCGAAAAGAATAAACTGATACTACGAGAGGATATAAAGTAAAGCAGTTGTGAAATATGAGTGACTCAAATAACTTACGTTATTGAATTAACACCTATTTCATGGCCTTGGCTCAGAAGCCATTGGGTTTGATCGTAATTGTTCCATTCGTGCGACACGAAAAAAGTTCCTTTGATAGGACATCCATTTGGATTTCTGAATAATTTGAGATATTTGCAAATAATTATCTTTGTAAAAGGATTTTAAATTTCTTTCTTATCAAATAATAATTTTATAAGAAAGAAATGAAAGAAAAACAAAATGGAAATAAAATCACTTTATATATATATATATATATATATTTATAATTTTTTTTTACTATTTTTCTATTCCAATCAAATGATAAATGATTCTATATCACAAACTATCACCAATCTGAATCCCTATATCATAAACTATCACCAACCTGAATCTCCCATTAAACAGCGATTTGAAAATATTAATTGTTAGAGAATGTACTGGACCAGAAAAAGTTAATAAAACGATTTGAGGAATTTCAATTGGATGTAAACCATTTGGCACTTCTAGACCACTCCTAAAATTCCATCATATTAGATTCGCTTAATTTTTAGAAATGTAAATTTAGATCTATTAAATAATATAATATGCATAATTGCAAACCTTGAACAGAAACAATCAGGTAGCCTACAAGAGCCGTCAATAGGGCAATTCAATATTGGCGTCGTTGATGGATCTCTGGTGAATCGCTTATATGATTCAGTAGTTGGTTCCACTATAGAGTAAATTTAAACAAATAACAAAAAAAACCCTTTGTGTGATATAATCATTTTTCTCTGTTATATGTTCCGCTAACATAAGTTTCATGCATAATGCACATAGTTTTCAAACAAATAGCAAATGTTCCATATTTTGCAATAAATACTATTTGTTATTATTATAATTTATATTTTTACAAATTTTAATTTTATAATATTCAGAAATATACTAATAAAATTCTCGAATATAAAAAAACAATCCTATTTATTCCTAAAATTTATGAATGGCCAATTTCATCTGAACTGAATAATCGTCAAATGAATAGTCGTCAAGCAATGATCAAAAGCTAATTCAACAAAAAAAAGTGCAATTTTCGTTAGTTTTAGATATGGCCACATTAACAAATCATGCAAGACAAACTTGTATGATTATTCAAATTTTCAATTGGTTAAAACAAACGGAAATAAAAAAAAATAAATTTGAAATTATAAATAACATTATGAATATCATAATTATGTAGCATGCAAGTCATTCTGTGCTAAGACGCATTCTTGCGCGTTTATAACTTGTCCATATGGACAAATACAATTATTTTGGTGACAATTAGATCCGCCACTGCAAATAGCTGTTGATCCATCGCACCACGATCCAGGAGGTACTAAAATTATCATAAATTCATAAATTGTCATATTTATTCATAATTTGCGCAAGTTCCACATCTAAGTTTATGAATTTTTTTACATTATGAATTAAAATTCAATTTCATTTTTTAAAAATATCACAAATGGAACCGACCTAGACTTCGCCGAGTTATGCAAGAACCATTTGGTCCTTCTTGGGATCCTTGCGGACACAAACATTGGCCTTTTATACATACATGGTGACCAGTGCATTCATTGTTACTGTTACACTTCGCTTCTTAAACAAACATTTAAGAAATTACTTTTTTAATAATTTGAAAAAATCTTTCATTATATATATATATATATATATTTATGTAAAAGAATTTCTTCATATTTCGAAAGAAAAGCAGATAGATAGAAATTTTGATGAAACCTATGTGTGCATGAAAGGGCAGCATGCGTGGAATTGTCTCTGGTGTACATTCACCAAGCCCATTTCCTTCATAACCATTTGAACATACACAATAACCCCAGCTGGTGCACATTAAAGAAGAGCGACAATGATATGTAGCGGTTTCGCAACGTGAACCAGCCATTCCTATGATGGAAAAATCTAAAGTTCGCTTTATGGACAAGGCTTTTGGCAGTTTTTTTTTCTGTTTTTGTCTCGAACTTGTTTCAACCTCGTTGTTCCAGTGGATTAGACAATTTGCTTATGCAGTAACCATTGGCATCGACCACTTGATCCGAATTGCAAATACAATATCCACGAATACATTGTGAATTTCGCTGGCAGTAATCAATTAATGCGCAGGCTGAGCCAAGGTACACTGAAATGAACGATTTAAATAGATTACTGAACTTTGAATTCCAACTATCCACATATCTCACATATCAAGCGATTAATAAAATAAAATTTGTTAAATAAAAAAAAAAAAAAATCCTACATGATTTAGGGAATTGTCGTATAACGCAAATATTATTGGAGATATAGCTGTTCGCTGGACAAGCACATATATTATGGATGCATGTTGCTCCACCATTACATGCAGTTGACATTGTACATTCTTCACCTGGATTAACACCAGCAACCGTTGATGGATTTAAGAGAGCATTTATACAACTATCTCTTTCGTTGCTGAAATCCATTTAAAATTATTTTCGCCTTTTTTTTCTCCATCATAAAATTTAGGAAAAGCAATTTGCAAGCCTTGATGACTTTAAATTTTATTTTAATTAACATCAGTCAATTAAAAAAAAAAAACTTTGGAACATAGCCTGGAGAACAAACGCAACGACCAATAATACAAGAAGAACCGCCACCACAAATTGCTTTAGCACTGCACTTATCACCAGGTCGAACTATAATCTTAATTTTAATTTTAATCTTAAATACGCAATTTTATCGATGAAATTTTTTTAAAATGAACTAGGCCCACGTTTGCGATATCATATCATCTTTATTATCTTATCTTTATCATCTTATACGCTCGTATATAAACCTCCTTTCTTTATATTTTGTTTTAAGCGATTTACAATATATTATTTGGATGCAGAATTAACAAAATTTTAGCCTCTTAGATTATTTACAACAATCTTCGATTGCTTACTTTAAGCGAATTTTACTAAAAAAAGAAATATAGTATAAAAAAAATAAATTATTTTTGGACAACAAGCGAATTTTTGGACGGGTTTACACCAGCAGAGAATCGAGCCTCAGCATCGGCGCTCCGAATTTAGCAACAGCCCACACACCCATTGTATCCCCAAAATATACTTTTTTTCCATATCCAATTTAATGGAAGATAAGGGAGATAGGATGAATGGTTCAGTGGTAGTTACTTCCATTTTAAAAGTGTCGATATCTATTAGAGGAATAAACTCTATAGGAGTTATCTTTCAAAAAATTCGGACGATATTAGCGACTCACCTATATTCGAGTGATTCCCTGGCAAAATCTACTTCCTGGCAAAGTGGCGGAGTGAACCTACGGAAAAATGGTGAGCACTGAATGTTCTTAGGAAAAAAATAACAAATAAAAATAGATAAAAAATAAAAATTAAATTACCTATGTACATAGAAAAAGCAGTTGTTTGAACTTTTTGTTGGTAAATTTCACGAGGCGAATCACTCTGCAATCGCTTTTTTGAATTTTCGAAATAATTTAATGATTATTGACAAGTTCACTAAATTTTATAATAATAAAATTCCAATAAAAATAGCGAAATTGAGAGGATAAAAGAATCTACCACGACAGATGTTAAAATGATAGGGGTACATCTAGTATCGACAGCATTGTAACCAAGGGGACACCTACAATAGCCATCCCAGCAAATAGATCCTCCACCGCACTGAGCACAACTCGCACATATCGAAGTGCACTTAGCACCTGGTGCAACTGAAATTAAATTGAAGTTAAAAAAAACAATTCATAAAAAATATAGCATAGAGTAATAGGGGATAAATTCTGGATATCTCTGCGAAGATTTTTCGTCTTAACCAAACTCCACTGGTTGGCTGATTGCGCTGACCAAGTCTTCACACTAAGAAAGGATAAGAATTTTAAAGTTTTAAGAAACACCGCTACATCGATTTTGCCACATGCATAAATCCGATCTATGAGGTGGTGACTTGAAATAGGTCGGTGTTCCAAAGAAGAAGACAGATTTATTAAGGCGCTTGACCATCTTACATCAGTACATGCACTATCATGACATTTTGAAATATAGACGTACAGATTTCGTTTCCTCTCTTTGGACTAAATTTTGAACTAAAAAATACATTATGGACGCACCAGGCACTCAGATAATTAAGAGCACATAAGAGCTTTCACCACTGTTGGCTAAATTCGCTCTGCTGGCCAGATAAATTATGCCAGGAAATCACTTGACGATAGAAGTATAGGTGAATCGCCAGAAAGGGTATAAATTCAGCATCGACGCTTCGAAGTTAATTCTGGTAAGTTTGGCCTCCAAAATATATCAGGCGATCAATTACTTTTGGCTAATTTTTCCTGAGGTTATCCTACGGGCAGCGCATTTTACTGGCAATGTCAGTAAAATCATTATTGCTTCTATTTTCGCTCAAATATCAACGATATCAAATGGCGCAAACTTCGCATACGCCAGATATAGCATGTTTTTCATCATCGACCTTAGTAGACCATGTCAAAGTCCATTCAAAACCTGGACTAACAAGGCGAGAAAATATTTTAACATAGGCAGTCCAGCAAATTAGTGGATAAATACAAAAAAAAAGTCAGTTCAAAAAAGATGGCTTAGAAGAAAATTTAACTATAATTTCCAGTATCAGCCAAACCAGAAATGATATTCGCTGTTTGAAGATGAAACAAAAAAATCTAATGGAAAAAAAATTTAAAATAATAATACGTATTGGAGCCAAATTTGGTGAATATGAATTGACACACTGTCCTTGAATTGCGGAACTTCCACTGTCACACTCACAAACACCATTATTGCAAGTAGAGCCACCGCCACAAATTACGCCTTCTTGAGCACACGAGTAACCAGGGCCAACTGGAAAAATTCAATTTCAGTAATAAAAAAAAATTAACAGTTATAACCACTAAATAATAAATAGTAAAAGATACATAAAGTGATATAAATTATTTGAGGCGACATGTCGATTTTTCACGAAAATTTTGATATCGCTTAAATTTCGAAATCATTCAGATAACTTTATCCATCCATCCATCATGTCAAGTCTCATAAGTAATCTCTTTTCTTTGCACGTGTAAATTTACACGTAAATTTTTTTAGATTTTTTGAAATGCATATAGTTTTCTGATATTTACAGAATGATTAGAAAAAATAATTCGTAATACTTTTTTCAATTAACTCTTCTCTTGTGTGCTTCTCAGGAGAGCATTGTAATATTTTAGTGTGTCAGAATAGATGCCTATAATATTGAAAATTATAGTGGTTCCCCGAGTAATTTACTAGCGAAGTGCTAATAGCACTAATTGTGGAAAGCATCCTATAAAGAGGTAAATATGTTGTAGGACGACCCATAGTAAAATGAAGGGTGCAATTTGTGTCTCCTAATTTATAAATCAATGTTTTCAAAACGGTAAGCATTTCTCGATGAAAGAAATTAAAAAAATTAAATTAAAAGCCTTTCGGAAAATGGGAGAACCAACGGAAATTCTTGCATGAAAAAGATTCTGGAAAGGTACGATGAAAAAAAGTAAACATGATTTCTTTTTGATTTTGCATTGAAGAAAATCGAATGAGATAAATTTTTTTTTTGAAAATGGTTTAAAAAGTCAGTAAGAACAACATTGGTACTTAACCAGGTAATCAAAAAATTCCTTCTCGGTTCCTTGGTTATTCTTTCATAATTTTGTTCTAGTTGTTCTAGTGCAAAATGTATTGCTTATTTCCATAGAAACATTTGTAAAAAATTTCAAAATTATTCGCAAAAACTATAAAGAACATCTATGTGAAATGAGGTATATAGAAAATAAACGTGGCTCCAAAATTAAAGCTATTATAAAGTCACCTGAAATGACCGACAAAATTTATTTGCATGCCCTACTAAAGTTTATAAAATATATTCAATCTGTATTTACCAGTTTTATTTCAAATATTTTTTTTTTTTTGAATTTTGCATTTGTAATTCTAATTTTACCAAAATAATCCTAAAATATATGAAAATGCCCTATAAATTATTATTTATCGAAATAAATATTTTAGCGATAAAATTAATTAATTAACCTTCTCCCTCGAAAATAACGCATTTGTCCCCAAAGACAACTCGATTAGAAGGGCAAATGCACATATCATTTACACATAACGAATCTCCCCGACAAGGCTCTCTTAAATTAGTCGTATCACAACGTTGACCTGGTGCACCAGTAAGCGATACTGAAATCGCATAGAAATAGGCATATATTTTGCGAATAATAATGCTTTCCTTGTAAAAATAATGCTAGGCTATAATCCTCATTTCATTTATTTTGAAATAAATTATTCATTTTTTTGAAATAATAATTTTGATTTCACCACTTGGCCATACACCACATTTATTTTAGCCCTCAGATTTCTACTACAATATATTTTTAATGTATGTAAATCACTTTAAAAAAATGTAAATATTAGAAAAAATTTCATAAATATAGTCTAAAGATGTGCATTGCCGAATGTGAAATAAAATATATTGTAGTAGAAAAACTTTTATTTTGGAAAAGATAACGAAATTTACAATGAATTTGATCTTAATTTAACTAACAATAATAATAATAATAATAAGAAATAAACATAAACATAAATAATAATAATAATAAATAATCTTATAGCAGCTGCCGAGAATTTAATTTCGAAAGAATATGTTCTTCTCAAAAATATAATTTGAAAAAATGAATTCCAATAGTACCCGGATTGTCATAAGGATATTGTATAGGTTGTATAGGTTGCCTCGGAAAATTATACGAGCATATCGGAGAATTAGGTAAAGCAGACATGCCATTTGGACATCTGCACATTCCCTCGATACATGAAGATCCTCCAACGCATTTCGAACGAAAATTGCACGGTTGATTTGGATAAACACTTGCTATTAACACTGGTGTACATTGACCTCTAAAGGATACCTTAAATAAATTTATTATAATTTATTATTTATCACAAGAAAATAGATTGTTTAGCAACAAATTAAAATGATAAACTATTAAACATACTTGGCCTCTGGGACATATACAAAGATTATGCATACAAAACGAGCCACCAGTGCATCGCGTAATGCCCATTTGACAAGGTTCATCTGGTCCGGCTAAATACGATTATCAGAAATTGAATTGAATTTAAATCAAAATGATAAATCGAAAAGAATCTTTTGATAAAAATAAGGAAAAAAAAAGATAAACCTTGACTATCACGACTCATGCATATACCATTTATAACTGGTTCTCCGCCTGGGCAAGTACAATAGCCGTTAGCACAAATTGAATTACCAGCACATTGTGTTATTATACCGTTTTCCTCGCAAGGATCGCCAGGTCCAACTAGATTGAAAATTCATTAAATTAAGAAATAAAAACGATGAATATAACAATATGAAATAAATAATTAGGCATTATTAGGCACTTAATTTTATCATTTTGATAATTCTTAATTTAATTTTGAATCAATTTTCTTCCTTTGAAAATTGTCATTATTTGTCAAATCTTCCTAAAATCGAAAATTCAATTACATATTTGTGCAGAGCTCACATATGCTGGGCTATAACCATTCGTAGTGCATAAGCCATTTGCAAAAAATGTGCCAAAAGGACAAACACAATATCCATTGAAACAATAAGATCCACCACGACATACAGTAGCGTCATACATACATGGTAAACCAGGTGATCCTATAAAAATTCTTTGATGAAATTATAAAATGGAATATTATCAATATTGGTCGAAAAACGATAGAGCCTACTTCGAGAAATTTTATGTACAACACAATTGCCAAAGACTTCAACAAAACCAACGTAGCATTTACATATTCGCCCAGAACAGAAAGAATTTTCACCACAATCAACATCGACACTGCACTGGCGACGACTCGAATCATCTGTAAATCTATGGCTAGCAAAGAGTGTTCGAAATTATGCAAATTTTCTTATAGACTCTCTTCTAGCCTATTATTAATAAATTCAAAAAAAAGAGAAAATGCTAATAAAAAAAAGGCTAACCTGTTTTACATCCATTCTCGGTCTCACTTTCAAGACATTGACAAATACCATTTTTACAAATTGCATTAGTTCCACAACTATTGAAATAATTGGGATCGCATTTTTTACCGATCATTTTTTTACTGGATGACTTCATATTTCTTTTCATGTGCTCTGGATTAGTATAGTCGATAACATGCTATTAGTATTTGAATATTCATGCAAAAACTAGCTCGTTCATAAACCAGGCTAGGCTAATTAAGAAACATTCATATATGCATTGCAAATTTCACATTTTAATTGTTATTTTAGATTTATTTTTGCTAGAAAAATTATCTGATAAAAAAAGAAATCGCACTGATTAAATCGCCATAATATTTTTCCCTTTCGATTTCCCCAATTATTTCAAGTTAGCTATTTCAAATGATATATTATAATACGATATTTGCATGCAATATTAAGTATTTTCAAGAATAAACACAAAATCATTAATTATTATTAATATAATCATTAATAATTAATTAATTAATTATTATTATAATTATAATTATTTATATGTTCTCTGCGAAAAAAATTAGAATAATTCTCAACTTTTCTTGGCTAAAATTTTTCCATATTATTATTATTTCCATAGTATTTAGTTTTTCACATTGTTTCATGCAATATTATTATATTTTCCGCTATTTCAGCTTGAAATTGATATAAAGAAAGAAAATTTTTTTAAATTTTCATAAACTTAAAGAATTTAAAAGACTTTTCATTCAGATGATACGTACTTGCCTTATAACTCTTATAACTTCGCCCAATCGCCTGTTTTTATTAAAGGATTTTCTTAAAAAGAGTCTGCTAAATTGAAATAATCGCATGAATACGGAGTGATTTTCGTTAATACGACACTGCGACACTCAAACTGTATATGTTAACGGAACAAGGAAAAACTCTTATTAAAAAACTGATAATTATTCTATAGAAAATAAAGAAATCTTTATGAATAACCAATGAATACTTATAAATCATACCATAAGTAGGCGAAATACAAATTCCATTCATGTGATTAAGTCCCACGGGACACTTGCAAAAACCATAAATGCACCTCGATCGACCAACACAAATCTCGCCATTCGCACAAGATCGTTCTGGATATGCTATTGTCGGTTCCACGTCTGTAATTTTTAACCTATTTTTAGCAAAAAATATATTAATAAATAAAGTAAGCCTTATTAAAGCACCAATCATGCACCGAAATCGCAAAAGAAACCTGACCAAATCAATACTGTCAAAATATTTTATTAAAAAAGCAAAGATTGTAAAGATTTTTTAGCAAGAAAAAAAAAATAGTGAAAAAACTGAAAAATTTGGAAGAACGCGATAAACTAAATAAGCTTTATGGAATAATTTATAAACAACAAGTGATCTCTTTTGATACTGAAAAAGATTTACCTCGTTCTTCTCAACATTTTCGAACAATATTTTCTATCCCTATAGATTGAAAAGCTTAAAACCTCGCATTACCATAAGCGAAAACCTTATAACCTTACATTACCATAATTGCGATCAATTGTAATTTTCAAAATATATTATATAAAATAAAATTAAATATAAAATATAATAAAAGATAATAGAAGAGGATTTTCAGATATCATTAAATTAATTTCCCTAAAAAATGAATATTTTAAAAATAAATAATAATTTCACCTGCGTTAATTGCAAAACAAACCAGTTACGACGTATGATGATGTAACAGCTATCGGTTCACTAATAGAACGAATTATTTGGAAAACTTCGGAAAAATTCGCTTCCGAAGATCGCGTATAAGCTAATATCGTTGGTTTTTGATAATGGTATGTTGTCGTCGTATTTTCCAGATCAATAGATTTGTTAGCATTATTTTTCCTAGAAAACAATGCCGACCAAAATGGTGATTTGGTTGGCTGCAATTTGATTGAAAGCAGATTGGGAATTGTTGCTTGATGAAAACTTGATACTGTTCCGACGTTTGTTGAGCCATTTACTGCGAAATGATAATAAACCAGATGAAAAATGGTGAAATTGAACTGAATAAATGATGGTAATGCCAAGAAAATAGGATTAGGCAAATTAAGCAGTGCAATTTTTTGTTTAATTAGTTAGAAAAAAGCAAGAAGAGCAAGAAATACATAGGACAGATGCAGAGAACTGCTGGAATTAGGAATATGCTTATATATTAAATCATTTGAGTTCCATAGTTCCATATGCTAATTGATACTTTAAAAAAAGAGGCTATTCGTGAGCTATTATTCAATGGATATACCATTACTAATCGGACGGCATGATCCTTCATAAAGAGTGTACGCCTGAGGGCAGAAACATATACCACGTATACAGATGCTGTTATTTGAGCACATTTGCCCACTTGAACATACTGATAGTGGTGGGACTGAAGCAAAAATAAAAAATAAAAAAGCATAAAAAAAGGCGATATTTAAAGAAAAACATTGCATTCTTTCTTCTCATTGGAACTACTGGAACTTATCAATATTATTAACTATAGTTGATAACAAAATTTTAAAAAAAATGCAATGAAAAAAGTTTGAAGAATGCGAATACCTAGAAATGGTTCAGCAAAACCTGGAAAAAAAACAAGCGCATAATCAAAATATACCAATAATCAATGGCCTGCAGAAACCTGCTGACCAACGAAAACCGCGAGGGCATTTACAACGATTCTCTTCACAAACAAGGATATTGCGGCACTGGTCCGTATCCGAGCATTTCTCTCCATATGTCAAATTTTCGTTAATATTAAAATGGCGATTGTGATGATTTGAATTATTATTATTATGAATTTCTATCTCTGAATGTATTCGCGTAAATAATTTTCATCAAAGTAATTATCGAAAAAATTCTCATCTTATTAGCTTAATTAAGCAAATAAGAATAAAAGAAGCCGTGAATTGGGTAAGGGAAAACCAAAGAAATTCGTCGATGACCTTTTTCATTAAGCAATAAACCTAGAATTATGGCCTATGGCGAAATACGTTCGATTTTTTTGTTTTGCATATTGATATTTAAGAAGAAGCGTTTCGACAAAAAATATTAGGCTAAGCCAATAACATGCAAAAATCACATTAAAGCAAAATATATATTATTAAAGCAAAACTGTAAAAATAGTTGAATGCAAATTTTCACTTAATTTCACTCGAAATAAGTTATTATAAAATTTTTAACAAATTTTCATGATAAATTTTGTTGATAGCAATTATCATTATCAGATATGAAATGAAATTATTTATCAAAAAATTCATACCAACTGAGTGGCGTATGCATATATCATCTCTAATTACTGTGCCAGCCGGACATTTGCATATTTTAGATGTATAATCACATTGTGAACCACCCACACACCTTTCACCGTTGCCACATTGCTCATTTGGCTTCGCTAAAAATTTTAACATTATCTTAAAGAAAAAATCTTAAGAGTGGCTAAAAAATCTTAAGAGTGGCTAACTGACTCCTTTTCCATTCTACGTTTTATATTATTAGCTAATAACATAAAAAATAAAAATGGTGACATACATTGAGGTTGACGTCGACACGAATGACGATAGTTGTCCATGCCATCGGGACAAACGCAATATCCATTTTTACATGTGGACCCACCAGTACAATGAACACCTCGATTACACGGTGATCCAGGAAACCCTGTAAAGTGATTACCATTATCACTATTTTATCACTATCATGCTCTCAGCTTTAAGCATTGTACTGAATCGTTATGAAATCATATACAAAAATATTGTGCAAAATATTTTTCTGAAAAAATCATATGCGATACTTTAAAACTTTGTGATAGAATTTTCTGCATCGATTGCAATTTCAAAGTATTATTTTTTAAGATTAAAGATAACCAAATAATTAATTTTAAAATCTTTTACTTATTCTGAGAAGCGATAAAATCTAATTAGGAGAAGAAACAAGGCGTTTCATCAAAATATTACCTGTATTTTTACTAACACATTTTGCTCCTTGATTTACGAGTCCATTTGCACATTGACAAATGCCACCTATGCATTCAGACATACCCGTGCAATGATCGGAATACGTACAGCGAGAACCAATCGACACTTGAAAATAAATTTAATAATTTATCGTCTTAAATACGGTGAAATATTTCTAAGATAAGGCAAATAATTCAATTAATATTGGTACTATAGTTGTTTTGATTTGTTTTATTCACCTATGTTGGTACTTCGCACATATTTCTCAAACACTGAATTATCTTATTAACCATCTTTGAAAGTGATTTTGAAAAATCTTGTCACTTCGGTTTTTTTTTTTCTTTTTCCATAGTTTATTTAATTGCGAAATTTAGCGAGACGAATATTACCATAAAAATTACCATTTTTTGGAAATTCACACCTTACATAGCGAAATATTCTTGGTGGAATACAATGACATAGCCCTTTACGACATAGAGCATCTTCAATACATTGATCATCACGAGAACAACTCTGCCCAGGTAGAGCTGAAATTTAACCAGCTTGATGGAATGGAATGAAGAAATCCTCAACAAATATTTTAAAATAATCAGTATACCCAGTGATCACTATTTCTATTTATTTATCAAAAATCAAAGAAAAAGAATAGATTTGGAGCGGTATGAATTGGGTAAATTTGGCCTTTCCACAAAGATTGAGCAAAACTGATTACAGTTAGCGGATTTCTTCCAAAATAAATAAATTAACTATAGTGAAATGAATTTTGATTATCAATTGAAATTACTGGAAGCAAGGTATTTCGATTATCAATTATCAAACGAGACATTTTGATTATCAATTATCAAACGAGATATTTTGATTATCAATTGACATTACTGGAAGCAAGAAATAAACAAATAAAAGTACCTTGCTTTATTTCTACGCATCGTCGACCAATTGCTTTCATCCCTTCGGTGCACTTACAACGGCCATTAACACATTCTGAACCTTGCGAGCATCGAATATATGATTGTTGACAAAATTCGCCGAGTTGTGCATGGATTATTGGCATACAAAACTAAAAAATCCTTTAATTAATTGATTTTAAAATTAATAGCCTTAAAAATGAGAAAAATATTAAATATTAATCATATCATTATCACTAAAGATTTGAAATTTTAAATGTTAAGATTGTTATTGTCACGTAAAAATAAAATATGTAATTTCTTTGATTAGATATTGTTCAGAATATTTATTTTTTTCAATTCTTTGCTATTGGATAATTTTTTCATAGTTTAAATGGAAATCGTATATTCTATAACAAATTTTCATCCAATCTAATAAAAAAATTTTGTAGAAAATTTTTTTTACAAAAACATTTCATATTTATTTGAAATAAACGAAGATAAATGGTCAATAAAAATAGTTTAATGTGTTAAATATTATTAAAATTAAAAATGAGAAATAAAAAAAATAAGCTAAATCGATAATTGATGGAAATTCTTTTTTTTTACGAACCATGGAAATTGTCCACAAAATTAGAAGTGAAGGAGGGAAATAGTTTTTGATTAGAATAGCAAATTTAATTTGTCTTATATTACTTTGAATTTTTAAAATTATTTCATTAAAAATTTTACTTTATTAAAAATTTTATGTGTGGATGGGCATATACATTTTTTACTTATTGCCTCACATTTTGAATTGCCCACGCATAATTCACCATTTTCACAAGATTCACCAGGCCATGCTGTAATTGATTAGCATGAATATATATAAAATTACATCTGTAAAATCAATTTATAAGTACTGAATCGTTAATGGTGCTCGATTATTTCTGGATTTAATAGAGATTATGAATGCATAGGACGTATTATAAATAGGCTGAAACTGAGATATTGAAAAAACCAATGCCTTCTGATACTTTCTGAAATAAGACGTAATTCCTCGAATTTCTCTGGGCAACTAAACCAGGAAATTTAAAATATATATAATTGTAATATATATACATATATAAAGCTTAAGATAAAAAGAAATTTATAGGAAAAAATAAGGGAAAAGGGAGAATTGATGGGTTTTGCTCTTTTTTTAGAGTACCAATGCCAAATGAATCACTGGCAAAAATCACCAAATCTGACAAACCAGCGGAGATAATCAAATGAGAAAACGTACAGTTTCGCATTCTTAAAGCTCTTTAAAGTAAAGCAAAGCATATCCTGAAATTCAATCCTCTTCAAAATAACCTTTTTTTATAGAGACGCATTCTCTATTTTCTTTTCGTTGATTTGAAGGACATTCGCAAATACCTCGCTTGCAATACGATCCCCCAATGCATATCTAATAAATAATGAAAAAAAAAAATCTCGAAATTCTCAAAAGAACTTGGCTAATCCAATTCGTAAAAATATATTCGTAATAAAAATTTCTATGTTCAAGCAAAAAAAAGTGATCCGTAAATAAATACCTCGCCATTTCCGCATGGATAGCCAGGTTTCGATCTTAGACGATCCTCACATTTTTTACCAATTTTAATCTGCTCGGGGCGACAAACACAAATCATTGTCTTCTTATCACAGAAGGCACCACCTTCGCAATCATCTTCATTATGGCACGTCTGACCAGGATAAACTATAAAGGATAAACTATAAAATTTAGCAAAAGTATATAAAAATTCACATCAAAATTATTATTTAGCGACTAATTTCTCTTAATTATCAAAATTTTTTGAGCATTCGCTTAAACGCCCATATTTTTTTACGCTAAAAAATATATATATAAAAATATATATTTTTAGGAAAGGCTATTTGAAAAATAATAATAATTATTATAATAATAATAATATAATTTTATAGTAGTATCAAGAATAGAATTTAGTAAAATTTCGAAAAATTTTAATTAATTTAAAATTACCTTTAGAAAATCGCTGACATTTTCCATTGCGAAATATTCTTCCTGGTTTGCACATACATTTGCCATTCACGCACGCTGTACCATCTTCACATTTCACACTATTGCTGAGACAATTTTCACCGTGTAGAACTGCCATAAGAAGAAAAAATTTTAAATTAATACTTAATAAACTTCTATCATTTAATGTATTTCCATCGAATTATTTCTAATCGTTTGGAAATCGTCTGATGGTTATTTAATTTGATTTTGTCACATAATTATATATAATATGATAAAGCGCAATTCCTAAAACTGACATCGACAAAATCACCGTCGCTTATGATTATTTTTTCCTTAAATTTTAGTAAGTACCTTATTTGCATTTAAGTAACTTTTCAACTAATTATGGCATCCAGAAAAAAAAGGAATAATACTCATTAATACAAAAATTAAATTCTAAATTAAAAATAAATAATAGTGTAAAAGAAAATGAGGAAACATGCAAAAAAAAGATAACATGCTTATCATGCAATTTCCATGCATATTTCCCACATTCTAAAGTTTCAAAACAGAGATTAAGTTTTTCAAATTTTTTAGCAAAAAATTTTTCGCCACCAGTTATTTTTTAAAGCAATGAAACTCCAATATTTGATCGAAGAACGGATAAAAAAAAAAATGAATGAAAATTGGGAAAGTATAGAATGCGGAAATTTTATGCTCCCAAAATTCGATATAAACTTGTATTGACCATTTCTTCTATAAAATTTAGCAACACATCGACCATTCACTTCGTTTTCTTCATCACTACAAGAACATATTCCGTTCAGGCACTTGTAATTTGATTCGCATACTTGCCAGTGCCTACACGACCCTCTAGCACGAACTATGATCATTTGACAATACCCATCATATAATTTATATCCATTTGGGCAGCGACAACTGAAAATTTATTCCGTTTTTCAGAAACTTTCAAGTTCAAAAAAACGTGAAATTTTTGGTTCCAGATTTATATATTTATAATATTTTACTATTAATCTTTACGTATAATCTATGCATCTCATTCCCTGGAAGCAATCTTTGTTATATTTGCATGGTAATTCTCTGTTCAGTTTCTTTGAGAAGATTCTTGGAATGCACCGCTTTCCAGACTTTACGTAATTAGCTGAAATATTTCGTAATTAACTAAATCCGTTTTGTATTTTTTAATTTTTAGGACTAACAAAGTTAGGATTAAGGATTAGGATTAAGGATTAGGATTAAAGTGCCATTTTAATTCTCACTTACGACTATAACCTTTATTTCTATTTTTATTTCATTGACAATTAAAATAAAATTGAAGCATCTTCATTGTTGCTTGAATCTTTGCAATTGTTAATCGTTAAGAATCGTTAAGTAACAAAGAATTGAACCTTAATCAAGAAGCGCGAAAAAAGCAATAATAAAATGCTTACAAGGGCATAAACAAAGATGTTTTTCCGTATTACAGTACGATCCTTCCTCACAATCCTTCTCGTCATAACAATATCCCAAAATTTCTGAAATGAACGAGTACCACAATTAACAAGTCAGCAATTTTTCACAAATTGAATGATCCTTCACTAATCTCTTTATCAACTTTTTTGAGTGAAACTTTTTTTCAATGAGGATGATTCCTTGAAACCTGCTTTCTATATTTTTATTAAATTCGCCATTTTATTTGTTTTTATTCATAAAATATTCAAGGACATCGTTGATTAAATTTTTCGACTACCTTCTGTTTCACATGCACCATTGATCGGGTCTTGCATAAATGGGCATTGGCAAACGTTATCCACGCACGTTGATCCTCCACCGCAACGAACAGATTGATTACACGGTGAATTCGGTGGTACTATTATCGATATCAATTTAAAAAAAAAACGTTAAATAAACTAAGATAAGCCGATCGAGTTTGGCTAAATTTAAATAGATCACATCGTGCGTTAGAAAAAATTTTAAAAATTCTAATTACAAAGACTAATCCATTCTTTTTAAAAAAAAACCAAAAATTTATTTTTAAAATTTATTTTATTTTTTTGGAATTTTAAAAAAATTTTTATAAAATTTATTAAAACAATAAGAAAAAAAAGTTAGAGAAAGTAATTAGTCAATTTATAAGAAGCGATTATTTTTGTTAGTAAATTATTAAAAAGAAAAACTAAAAAAATTTTCAACATATCAGTACAAAAAAAATATTAATTATAATATATAAAATATTAACAATAAAGAAAAGATTGAAATTTGGAGAATTGAAAAAAGTTAGCCAATTTTTCGACTTTCATTTAAAGCGCGGTGATTATGGATTTGGTGATATCGCTCATAATGATAGATTATGGGAAATATAATGGAATCAATCACCTTAATACAAGACTTAATACCTGTTTACCTGTTTTAGGCGCAACACATTCATCGTCTAAAAGCGTTGTGTCTATAGGACAAATACATTGATCGTTAACACATTGTGAACTTCCTGAACAAAATTCTCCATTCGCACAGCTTTCCATAGGTTTTGCTAAATCTGAAAATTTTATTTTTCAAGAAAATTTTTATAATATAATAAAATAATAATAACAAAAATAATATATGAAGAAGGATAATTTGGATAAATTTTATTAAAAAATTGAAATTATTGAAATAAAAAAAGGAATAAAATAAAAAAAAGCTGACTTAATACACATGATCCTGATTTAAGAATCATTGGCGATACGCAACTACAGATTCCGTTTTCGCAAAAAGATTCCTTCTGGCATTGTTCAGCAATCATACATTCTTCACCAGGATTTGCTTTATCGTAACAATTTCTCTCAAATTTAACTTCATTTTGAGCGCAGTCTGTAATATGCAATATGCACAAGATTTATTTAATTATACAACAAGAATTTTAAGAGGTTTAACAGTTTAATATCAACTCAGTAGTTATAATCAGTATTTAAGCGCCACAAAAGGGTACTAGAAAATTTTTAATGAAATGTTTTCAATAATCGTACCGCCTGTAGATTTGACGAATTTCCGAGTACCATTACGAAAAACAAAAAAACTCAAATATAAATTTATTCATATGAGAAAGTATGTTTCTATCAAAATGATCCATTGCATTTCGCAATGATTCAAGATAATTCTCAGAGATAACTAACCCTTACGACAGATTCCATGCGCATTCAACATATATCCATCCGGACAAATATCTGTGCAACCCGATTCGGTGTATAATTGTTGATTTCGACACCGACACCGCTTACGATCGCATATCATTTCTTCGTGGAACATTTGGCACTGCGACGAATATAAACATTGCTCACCAGGCCGAGCGACTGAAAACGAATTTTTAAGCATGATTTTAATGAATGGATCAACTTATTACAATATATATTTTTTATGGTAAATAAAGAGCAATGGTCTTTTTTATATGAAAATTAAAGGATCCACGAACTCGGAAGGCATTTCCCGATTGCTGCAGAAAATACTTCTCCAGTTTCGCATCGTAATCCACAAGTGCCGTCAAGCGGTGATAAACCGGGTGGACAAGTGCAAATTTGTTGAAAGCATATAGAACCTTCGAATGCCGCTGAACACTGCAACGAATGGCTACATCCACTTGAACCAGGATTCATCACTAAAAACAACATATGGTTGTTTTGTTTTGTTTTTATTTTTTAAATATATTTTTATTTACTTTTTTAAAAGTGGATGAGATTTTATTTTAACGAATATAAGCGATTAACCTCGCTTGCATTCTCCGATTTCAGGAATCCAAATAAAATTAGGATGGATACAATTTTGGCTAGCAAAAACACACCCCCGAGGGCTAACTATCATTCCATTAACGCATTCACAACGTTGCCGCAAGCAATACGCACCAGCTTGAGCAGCACTACATTGTTCTGAGTACTTACAAGTTTCGCCTGGTTCTTGAACTGGAACAAATCAAAAAATCGAAATATATCCATAATACTTTTAATATTTTACGGCTTCATTTAGCAGATTATTTTGTTTCATCATCAATAGCTGATGATGAGACAAAATAATCAACATCATCATCATCAGCTGACTTAGTATATATAAAAAAATAAGACGGAGATTTTTACGTATACAATTTTTTCACCTGTTAATTTATCTCTTCCTATCGATCGATGATATTAGCAAAACCACAAAATAATCTTATAATCTAGATGAAGAAAAAAAGATAAAAAACCTGGCATGCACGTTCCTGCTTCTTGAACATAAACCTCGCTCACAGGGCATGTGCTGAATGCTTTCATATCTTAAAATAGCTATTAAGTTCCAATGAAGATAAATTTAAATAAATGAATAAATTTAAATAAATAAATAATAAATAAATAGATAAATAAATAAAATGAATTTATATCAATTGGTTATTCCATTTTCCTTGATATGGAGGCTTACGACCTATAGTTGATGTGTTCACTCTCTCATTACCCTTTCTCACTTATTCACCTTTCGTAATTTTGTTAGCATTCTATTTTCGTATTTTATTTTATTCTGTCATCTTATCATGAGCCCAAATGGACCTAGCGTGGTACCAAACAGACGAAAAAACTTTTTGCTTTTACTACCATCATTTAACAGGTTAATGGTTAAATAGACTAGACACATGCAAACTGCTTCATGCTTCATTGATTAGATACAGTAAATTAGATGTATATGTAAGGTTCAAAAATTTTACAAGTATCTGAAGCAATGCACCGAGTTCCTGTATTGAAACCATTTGCTGTACAACGACAAATTGCATCACAATAGGCATAAGGATAGCCAGCACATTCATGATCAGATACACACGCATTTCCTTTGAAGAATTATCATTCTATTCATTATTATATTCTATTATTATACTATTATATTATATTATATTTATTATCATTATTATATTATTAAATTTAACTACTCATAATATGTCAACTTTTTAGCCTAATAAAACTTTTTGCAGACGAAAAATTGGTTATGTTTATATTTTATATTTCGATTTATTAGAAGCAAATAATAATAATATTAATAATATTAATAATAATAATGTGTTATTAACTATATCAACGAAAAATGGTTTTAAAGAAAAGTAAAAACGATCATCACATTCCAAATAAAAAGGTTATAGTAAAGATCAGATTACAAGTAAAATAAGCAATAATTAAGTAAACTAGAACGAATTCAATTCAAATTTTATGAATATTGTGGATTATTGATGAATGAATAAGAAATTTTTGGTAAATTTTTTCCTAATAAAAATAAATAAAAATAAATTTAATAAATAAATAAATCTTTTTTCATTATTTATTTATTAAATTTTTATTAGAAATACAAATTATAATTATTCGAATTGAATTTAATCTTCATGCATTCATGAGAAGATTTAGTCTAATTTTTAATGAGTTAATAAGAAATTTGTTGCCAAAAATTACGATAGGGCAAATAAATTTTGCTACAACCTTAAGCCTCCAATCACCGCAAACAACATTTAGCCTCAGCTATTATCAGCAATTTAATCAAATACATTATCGATAATCATAATTTTCATAATTTGCATGAAATCCTATCTTAAACGCTAAAACTTTTTTTTTTAATTTTATTTTAATTTCTTATAAGAAATTCGATATTTTTTTGCAATATTTAAACTTGGAATTAAGGCTAATAACTTATTTCTAGTAAAATTAAAAGTTTCATTGTCGACATGCTTTAAGCTTTAAATAGGCCAACTAAATCTATAACGAATTTGCATAGAATTTTGAAAAGCGAAGCCTATCAAATGGTAATTGTTTTCTATTTTTTCCTACTTTCACGATTGTTAATAGTAAAATTTCTGAATTCATTAAAAAATTAAATTCGATTGATTATGGAATAAGTAAAAAATTTTCAAATGAAATAAAAATGTGTACCTGGAGGAGAATTATGCCAAGGTTGTCGAGAAAAAATTTCATTTCTTAGATAATAATTTTTCGGTTTTTGGTAATTTGATGGTGAGAAACGCTTCGTTTCCGCATTAATTAAAATATTCACTAAATAGAATAAATAAAAATGAATAAATCGACTATTCGAGAACATAGGACTAATAACTTAAATAGTTAATAATAAAAATATTATTTATTATACGCTCGACGAACAACTGACAACTAAAGAATCGGTTTTTTGTTTTTCAAGACTTTGCGTCATTTTTGACATTTGTTATGAAACTTTTGTCGTTTAGATGAATATTTGATGTAAGTTAATATAGTACATTATGGTTCTGAAAGTATATTACCACTCTTTTTTCAGAGTTCTTCGTGAATATTTCAAATTTCACTTTTTCAAGCAAACACCACTGCTGATTAGACGCTGGCTTATCACACCAGTCAAATTTGCCAAAATGAGTCCTTTGGCGATAGAAGTAAAAGATAAATGAGTTGCCGGATAACACTAGCCGGATTTTTGGACAGATTGATTTCTGCGAGGAGTAGAAATTCTCAGCTTCGAATTGAGCAATAACTCACCGAGCTATTCTATATGCCCCCAAATATATTCCATATCAAATAGAACGAAGCTGAGGTTAATTCTACTTTGCTTTGCTGATTTTAGTAAAATTTCGAAAATTTATGCAAGAAATAGAAAAGTTATACAATTTCTATTTATAATCATTTATTTATCACATACTGAAATCGTTAGAGACTATTGAAGAAGAAATAAAAATTTTCACCTGAAACGCAATCGCTAAATTCTGCTACTAAATTATCCGGGCATTCGCATATTTTCTGCTCATTACATAAGGCTCCTGGATATGCCTTTGAACATTGCCGAGAGTCTTCGCATCCACTTTGGCCAGGATAAACGACTAGAAATTGTTCAAATATGTTATAAAAATCTTCCAATAAATTTTTTTTTGACCTATAAGCAATCATGAAATTTTCCAAAGACAATGCCAACCAGTGGATAGCAAGTAAAATATTAGTTATTAAATATTTTTCATTATTATTTTATAAAATACTTATTTATTATTCATATACCCCGTCTGCAGCTTCGTGAAAGTTGTACATAATTCGATAAGCATTCGCATTTTCCATTACTGCTACAAAATTCTCCACTTCCCATGCAATCTTTTGGCGAATTGCATGATGTTCCATAGGAATTGCCTGAGAAGAAAAAAAAATTGAATTGATTTTTGAAAGTCAATTTTTGTTCATTCTGATTGGTAACCATTTTAAACGAGCTAATAAACGAATATCTTGTTTTAATGCTTCCTGAGAAAAGAGATATATCATATTGAACCAAAAGCCTCTATCATTAAAGTTTTGTTGGCCTTTTTACTTACTTTGGTCCATAAGGATACATTCTTCAGCATTTTGTTCATAAAAAGGTGCGCATCTGCAGATTCCTTCAACACATTCAGAATTTTCAATGATGCATGGTGCTTTATTCACCTCCGTTTGACAGTTTGATCCAATAATTCCTACCTTATTTTCACATTTGCCGGTTTTCACTTAATTAATTGTTCATAATATTAATTTAAATGCTAATTAAAAGTAAAATATATTTTTTCCAAATTTCATAATAAAACAAATTTTACAAAAACATAAACTTTAATGGTTCATTTAATTTATTTTAATTGGAAAAGGTATGTAATAAAAAATAAGTAGAAAATAATATATGACCACGGAATCTCAAATATCCATTCAATGCTTTTCTTATTCTATTGTGTTATTTGCAGGCAGCGTGAATCTCTCTCTATCTTTTGTCTAGAATGAACCTACCATTAAAAGTAGAATCTGGATGGTACCCGGCGGAATTTTCATCCTCGAGAATTATTGTAATATTGTAATTTTCATTCTCAAGAATGATTTATATTATTATTTATGCTAGTGATTAATTATTTCGAAATTTGCAAAATTACTAAAGTAAACTTACATATAAGCCAAATAAATATGAAGAATTGCATAGAATCTGCAAACAATAATTAAGGCTAAAGTCGCTTAGGTGAGGATGCAAATGTTGTATATATATATAAAGAGTAAATATAGTAAATGAGTAATGAGAGTGAGAGGGTTTGATCACAACGAAGGTCAATTGTAGGAAAACACCGTGAGGACTAATATGAAGCATTCGCTAGCAATAACTGGCACATCATTTTTATATTTGCACAGTTGCACAAATTTTCCATTGCTTGATGTCCACTTCTAATACCTTTTAAAATACGAAAAACTACAAATTTTGTTTTTTTTACAAATTTTATAATCATTTGAAAAGATTATATAAGCGTCTTTTAGTTTAAAAGTAAGTTAAGCCAAATTTTCTTATCGTTTAAAAAAAAAATCATCAATAAAATTTCAAATTGCAAAAAATTTTCTAAATCGTTAAAAACTGATTGAAATACTAAAACTTAATAAAAATTGCTTAAATTTGATTTTTTCGAAAAAAAATTTTTCATTTTAGTTATTAGTGATTCCAAAATAAATAAATTTTAATTCCTATGTTATCACTATCATTATCACCATTATCATCAATTATACGATTCATTCTATCATTATTTTTCATCTCAGTTCTATATAATTTAAAAATGAAATATAATGAATTTGTGATTTATTTGATCACCATTAATCATAACGACTAGAAAAACTTCCTGATTCGTATTGGCCATAATCATGGCACCAACTGTAACGATTAAAATTTCTATATAATGGGAGTGATTTAATCTCAGTGATGATTTATCTTTAGCAAAAACTCAGCTCATGCAAAGTTCAATTTCTTCTCTTAATGTCATATGTCATTTGTAAATCTTTTTATAAAAGCTACTGCTTGATTAAGTAAAGCCAATAAGTTTTATGTCTAATCAGATGGTACTCTTCATGGAAATTCCAAAATATTTTCGTTTTGTTTAATTCAGCCATTGGTAATAAAAAATACATTTTTGATGGTTTGAATGGTTCAATGTGGGAAGTATTATCAAGAATGTGAATATGCAAAGCCGAAATCCTTTCACTGATTAAAATTATAAGCGAATATTCATACTGATTAATACTGATTGGAATAAACATTCAAGAGAATTACCCGAATAATGCAGTTGATCATCGCTTATCACAATTCCAATTTTTGCAAATTCTAAAACTGTATTTCTAATTTTTATAATGTTTTAATATGTTTCTATCCGAAATAAAGTCGATTATGAATATGATTTGCGTTGAATTATGTATAAATTATATTGGAAATATAAAATGAAGATTTTTGGCATAAAATTCATCGATTTCTTCCAAAATTTCGATTTTCGATATATCGTTACGCA